TTTTGATTATTTGCTTTGGCTTGGCAGTGCCTGCCGCCCTTGAACCAAAATCGAATGACCACTTTAGTCAGTTGGTTAGCAGCAAAGCTGTCAATCAAGCCATGTGTGTGTGTGTGCATGTGTGTGAGTGTGTATGGTGGACTATTGCAGCGATACTATCTTTAGAGTTTGCAAATGCATGACTGTGTATTTGCTAGGGTAATTGAGCTATTTAATGCAGGCTAAAGGGGTCGCCAAGCTATTGAAATGTCATAGAAAGGAATTTGGAATACGAACTGAAAGCAGTTTTACTTTGGAGTGGTAGTGTATTTTCTTTTTAACTATGTTGTTTTACAAAATTAAACTTAAATTGTAATTTGTGATTGTTAAAGAATGACAATTGTCGATAAAGACCTTCAGGCAGTGCAGCTGGAGCTTCAAATGATTGTGGACAATTTTACCATATAAATCAATAGCTCTTCATTTAGGAACTGCAAGCAATACATAGTTATAAAAAAAATAAATAAATAAATAAAAATTAACAAATTAATTCAGGATATACAAAAAAAAAAAAAAAAAAAAAAAATAATAAAAAAAAAAAAAAAAAAAAAAAAAAAACACAAGAAGGGTGTGGTAAATAGAGATAAATTATTTTTTGCGGCAAATTCAATAATATGATAAACTTCTATTGGCAATTTAGTAATTTCGATTCCTAAAATTAATAAATAATAATAAAATATATAATAATAAGTCATGAATATTATTTATTAAATTTAATAGAGATTGTCCTTTTAATTATTAATAATAAAAAAAAATGATAATAATAAATAGTATTTTATAATTTTACATCTCTAGTCTTATTTTTTATTTATAACATTAAAAGTTCGTTCTCGTTCTTCAGCCGCTGTTTAAGGTATTCTCGATCGTCTCATTTTCGTCAGCCTACATCATATTCATGGATAAGTATCGATAGATTAATATTGATGCCTCTATTCTCTTATTGTCTAATAGAATATCTGTGCTATAGGCTAATTAGGGCTTTAGTCCTAGCGATGTCTATTATATGATCAGACTAGACCTATTTGTCTCTGTGAAGAAATGGCTTTTATCCGGGACAAGGGAATATTTCAATACTGATATGAAAATCATGCAAATGAAGCCATTCAGCCAGTGTGATGAGTAAATGCCCTTGAGTCCATGGCGTCTTCTTCTGCGGAGCCTTCTGACGGAATTGTTGGGCGCGGGCGTACAGTTGTTATGTTGTTGATTGTTTGCTTAATATGCCTTCGCTCAAGGGTCTGTTGTTGCTCATGTACCACTGAGCTCCGCTGACAAGTCTGAGCAGGATGCTCTCAGCGCTTTGTATTTTCTTCAGCTGACAATTTAATGCAGACTCATAATTCACATTTTCAGAAGATTTTCGTTTACAGGTCTAATTTTTATGAACTTGAAATTAGTGACTTTGGTTTGTATTGTAGGCTTTTCGAGAGAGAACTTGAAATACATAAATTGTAAGCGGAAACGAATAAATGAAACAAAGGTGTGAGAGTGAATTAAGAGATTAGAGATCAACTGAATAAGTTCTCAGCAGCATTGCTCCATCACACCATGATATACATACATATATCACTCGTCTAACAAACATCCACACTCTATAAATTTATGCTGAAATACATGTATATTTACATAGCTGTATGTATATTTATATTGTACATATATATACCTACAGCTATAGTCGCTGCAATGGCATTTCATTTCGGATTTGTATTCCACACTTTGCTGTGACATTTGCCTAGTTATTTGCACTCATATTTGCCATTCAAATGTTGTTTTGTGGGACAGGCAAAGCAAAAGACAGAACAAAAAGCAAACAAAAAATTAAAAAAAAAAAAACAACAAAGACAACATTTTGCCCATTTCAGTGTAATTTTTAAAAATGTTCGCAACAAACATAGATACACTCGCACACATAGACACACACACTCATACGCTCATAGACACTCGTGCATTCTTTCTATAAACTATCGCTCTCTCTATCTCTCTCTTTCTGTCGGCTGCTCTGCCTGGTCACGAGTGCCTCATCATCTATGCCGCACAACCACAGCCAGGCACGTTTCCCCTTTTAACTGCTCACCCTCTACTCCCCCCCCTACCACCCGTCTCTTTCTCTGTGCTCCTTCTCTGGTGGTTCTGCTGCGGTTGCTTCTGCTTCTGCTGCTGCTTCTTCTTCTTCTGTCACCCAATTGCCTCTGCCCTGGCACATTACAAGCCATCGCTCACTACGTTCCTTCCGCTCTGCTTCGAGCTGGCATTCACTTTTACTATTGTTATTATTATCGCAGTTGTAGTCCTCATTGTTATTGTTGTTGTTGTTGTTGTTGCTGCTTGTTGTTGTTGTTATTCGACGTTGAGCAAGGATCTAGGTCGCTTTTTGAATATATTGTTTGTATCTAAGATTAGTGCGCCAGATATCAGTATTATATAGCCCTACACAATACAATATCATTTGCATATCAGTGAGTGAGTGAGTGAGAGAGTGCATGAGAGAGAGGGAGAGAGAGCGTGAGAGAGAGAGAGTGAGAGAGAGAGAGAGAGTGAGTGAGTCAGTGAGTCAGTGATACTTAAACAAAGAGCGAAAGGGAAAGTTCTTGACACAGTCGAGCCTCATTAAAGCTAATCAATGCTGACAACTGTCTCGGAATGCGACTACAAAGCAAACGAATAAATATAAACATGTTTGGGTGTTCAGTGTTGCAAAAGTCTTGAATACTTAATATAGAACAGCTTGAACAACTTTTGACTTCACATTTAACATACTTCATGTTCTCTCTTATTGATTTATATTTTCTATATCATCAGAAAACATTTGTGATTGAAGCTCAATAGCTTAATAGTAACTGACAGATTGATAAAAATTATTATAAGATTTTTATAATTATTACATATATTATTATTTATAAAAGATCTACAGGGAGAAAATCTTATAAGTCGTGCTAGATATCTTGAGATATTCAGGGAAGAGTTCTTCAAAGGAAGCTACCGTTAAATTTGATGAAATAGTTTTCGCAAGTATTTTGCAATTAATTGAACTATAAATATATTTGTATGTATTTGCATATATATTTGTACATACGTGCATATCCATGGAAATATTTGATAATTAAATTTTGTGCTCTGCTTGTTCAGCTGTGTAATTTCTCTTTATATTTGGCTGAAATAGAATTAATTCGCGTGGCTGCTGAACATTTAATGAGCTAATTCATATTAGCCATTGTCAGTGCGTTAACAGTTAGCAGAGCCGGGTCCACAATACGCGCAAACATATGTAATGTGGTGTGAGTGGGGGAGAGAGACGGGGTGTGTGTGTGTGTGTGTGTGTGCACCTATCCAAACACTACGTACAATAAATAAGCATTCCGGTTGACTATTTGTAGGCCGCTTCAATTGTAAGCAACGCTTTGCTGCCCAAGGCAACAAATAGCAACAATGGCAGCAGCAACAACAACAACAACAGCAACAACAACAACAACAATACAAACAGCAACAACAACAGCAGCAGTCATAAAATCAAATTACAAACTAATATTACTCACAGTGCGTTTACTTTTCCGTCTCGTTAGTTTTCACTGTCAATTGGCAAGCGCAAACACAAACGCAAACGCAAATGCGAATGCGAATGCGAATTGCGAGAATGGTCCAGACGTCAAACTCTATGAGTGAAAGAGACAGAGACAAAGAGAGGGAGAGAGCGAATGAGTCTGAGCGAGGGAAAACTGCGCAAGCTGCAGTCATAGCAAAAGTTGAGGCAAATTACAAGACAAAGCCAAGAATAAGCAACAAACAAACAAAGCAAACAGATTTGTCTGCATGTGTGTATGTATGTGTGTGCGTGGGTGTATGTGTGAGCTGCTAGTGTAGCACAATGAATAATTGTGACGCCGTCATCGATTCAAGCCAAATGACTTGAGCACGAATTCAGCTGCCAATTGAATTGATACCAAATAAAAAAAAAAGAAAGAAAACAAGAAAAAAAAGGGGAACACAGCAGTGACTAAGCAGCAGCAACTTACACACATTGATAGAGTGTGTATGTGTGTGTACATAAGAATGAATAGACTCCTTCACAGTTACAGCTGTTGGAGGCCATACATAGGGTACTTCATATGTGATGTAACCAAACTAAAGGAGAGAAGAATAGAGATAGGGAGAGGGGGTGGGTGAGAGACAGAGAAAGACAGAGAAAGAGAGAGCGAGAGGAAGAGAGTAAAATGCTTTGACTTTTTAACCAAAAGCCTTAACTATTATAATATTTATCGAAAGAATAATTGGAGCTATTAAAGCCAAACAATTATTTTTAGCTACTAAAATTAATTTAGATGATAAAAATATAAGAAATAACACTTATTTTGGAGCTTAAAAAAATTAGGTAATTAAAATTATTTCAAAGCTATTAAAACAAAAAACAAAAAAAATATTTCAAGGTATTTTTAAAATTAATTTATATGATACAAAAATTAAGAAATAAAAATTTTTTTTGCAGTTTAATTTTAAAAATTTATTTAGATAATAAAAATCATATCATATATATATATTTTTTTTTTTTTTAATCAATTTTTCTTGTAAAAATGGAAAATATAGCATAAACTTAATTTTATTGTAAAAATTGAAAATAAAATTGATAAAAATTGGTGATCATATAATCATATAAATAATATCACATCCCGTAAAGTTATGGAAATACGATCTTTATATGAAAATTCATGAGAAATAATTGTTTTTTATTCTTATCATATAAATTAATTTTAATAATTCAAAAAAGGCTTAAAATAAAACAAAAATAGCAAGTAAAACTTTATTCTGATTATAAAAAAAAAACATCTCGGTCTATGCTTAATCAGTTTTTGTCTCTCTCTCTCTCTCTCTCTATCTGTTAACTTTAATATTGTATGCCCTTATATACTCTTTAACTAAAGTCTTTAACTTAAAGTCAATTTCAATGTCTCCCTTTTCTTCTCTTTCAGTGAGCGCATATAAAAGTCTGTCTCCCTCCAACCAATAGATGGCAATAAAATAACTGTGCGTGTGTGTGATTTTTCTTTCTTTTTTTTTGGGTAAGTACTTTCTCTGACATGAGCTCATAAATACATATATGTATGCATAGTATATAAAGAATATGCGCTTAATTCAATTTAAATATCGTCAGGAAATATCTTGTTACATAATATGTCTGAAATATTGCCGCTGTGAGTCCAATGCAAATCTGAAGGCTTTTCACTTTGTTTGTTTTCTTATACACACACACACACACACACACTCACACACATGTGTATACACATATATGTATGTGTATACATATGTATGTGTTCTTTCACTTATGTACTTGGTCTTCAGTACGAACTTATTTATGGTCGGCATCAAACGTCAAGTATACGCCCGGTTGGCTTATCTGCTGTTGTTATTGCTGCTATTGTTGTTGTCGGCCCATAACCGCTAGCGGCATAAAAAACGCATTGCTTATGCGACGTAATTGTACACCACTCACCACCAAACACTGGCAGCTGAAAGTCAACCAACCACCCCCCACCCGCCGAACCATCGAACCACCGCCTGGTCATCATTGGCCCGGCTCGGCCAGGCTGTGCCGTTTGCATTGCCAAACCCGCTGCGAGGCAGCGATTAGAATTGCTCGAACCACTACCTACACACACACACACACACACACACACACGCTCGACTGGCATTTGTTGTGCGTTAATCCGTCGCACATTTCAGGCTGCTGACTTGGCGAGCGGCCCAGCAATTTCGGCACATTCAAACAAGGACAACGAGTGACGACTGACCCGGCTTACTCTGACTCCAAAACTTGTTTTCTTTCGGCCGCTAACGCAAACTTGGCTCATATAACATGCTTGTGTTCGCACATCAGCTTATGTAAATAGCTTATCAAAACAAGGATAAAAATACTAAAAACAAAAATTATCTTCTCGCTCACTCTCTCTCTGACTCGCTCGCCCTCTCTCTCTCTCTCTCTGTCTCTCTCACTTTGACTTCCCCTGCATGAGGCGAAACTTGGCAAACAAGTTTGGAAATTTGCAAAATTTTTGAAGCGCTTTAGTCTGTGATGCAACATCATTTTTGTTTTCCCTCCCAAATATTTTCAGTCAGCAAACTTTTCTGGCCACACACAAACACACACACACACACACCTGTATGTAGCCATGTGTGTGTGTGTGTGAGCAAACTCGGTGGAAAAATTTAAATTAAAATTGTGAAAAGTTTCGGCTCGTGTATTTTTGCGCAAACACTGCGCATAATTTTGCGCAAATCTTTGACAAATATTTTCCCATGCTAATTTCACGTGAGCCGCCCACTGGGCCCCGCCCACTGCACTGGCGCCCCAAATACCACACAGGTGCATACGCTGCAAACATCATTTGCCAGAGCTCTTTGCCAAATGAACCAAAGATTTATTGTTGCATAATCAAATTCTTTGCTGCCATGAAAATCGTCCACATGCCTTAACTGGCATTGTCTTTGTCAGCAAGAGGGGCGGTAGAGTGGACGGGGGCGTGGCCATTAGATGCTGCCACGCGCTGTCCAAAAACTATTCACGAACGCATAGATGGCAGCTGAATTTGAAACAAACGTGTTGCAAACTGGGCCAAAAGCATTTCTAAAGCCAAAGTGAATCCTGGCTGCCCGGTTGCACGGCTGCCCGGCTGCTCGGCTGCCCGGCTGGCTTACTGCCTGACTGCCTCGGCACGTAGTTAAAAACTTTTGCTTACCATTTTTCTTGCAGTGGCAAGCCATTATTTTTACACTTAACCCCAGCCGTTAGTCGTCTTCGTCGGCCGTCCGCCTCCCGCCTGCCGTCTTGAAAGTGCATCATGGGGTAAAAAAAAAAAAAAAAAAAAAAAGAAGGAAAAAACTCTTTCAATTCTGTGCCACGTCCCGCACGTCCTTTGGGCAGAGGGGGTGTGGCTGGGGGAAATTAAAATGCGCAGAGTTTTCTATGAATTTCGGGCATGTCTTGCATCGCATGAAAGACGCAGGAGGCGCCACCGAAATGGGGGCGGCACAGGCTCCTTCACAACTGTTTGGGCATAATCTGCATATGAACATCCTAGTCTTAGGCACTGTCTGCGGCGCAGATGTCTGCGCAAATTGAAAAGAATAACGCGAAATTAACATTATGGACAACTGGATGACTTTTGCCACAAACATCAAGATGAAGAAAGATGCGCCCGGGCCATAGAACATCAAACGGCGCGGCGCCTCAGCAGCGAGAGGGCCAAGGCGGCGGTGTCTGTGGGGAGCGCCAGCTTGATGCGAGTTGAAGCACTTACTCACAGCTCGGAGCTCGGAACTCGGAACTCGAAACTCACCTCCATACAATGCAAATAGCGTTTGCTCCGACTTTTCTTGTTTATTGAAGCCACGCCAAAAGTTTGCCGTTTACTTTAAGTAAGAATTAAACACTTGAGATTAATTATAGCTCTCCAGCAATAAGAGTTGCGCAAATGGAGCCCGTCGCTAGATAAATATGACATCAAAAGTCATTAGTGGCTGCACTTCTGCTGAAGCGATTGAAGAGCTCGTTCGGCCTTATAGGCATCATGCTTGGCTATAAATATTGCCAGGGTGTTGCGTGTGGATTAGATGTGTAGCATTAGACGTGGCTCTTTTATAGGGAAGTTTTCATGCATATCAATCTAGATGCGCCCAGCTGCTATTCAAAGTTGGGCTTCAAAGGGGATGCTATATAGATCTATAAAATATTATGAAAGTGTTACGATAGATGCGAAGGATAGCTTCAACTTCTAACGGTATACAAAGCAAGGAGTGAATTCGTTCACACACACATACATAGAAAGAAAAGAGCACACAAAGGGCTGAAACTCTGCCTTATGCAGTCTAGCTTGTATTTCAGATCAAGAAAATATAATATACTATAAATAATAAAATTTGTTCACGAAAATTACATAAATATTTATGGCATATTTAATAATTGCTTCTCTAATGTATTTATTTACGCACTGTTTGAGTTACCTTATTTATATTTTTATTTAATTAATTAAATTTGTATTTATTTGTATATGTTATTTATATACATACTTTATTAATTAATTAATTTATTAACTTAATTATTTTTGATTTGCTTATTTATTTATTTTTTTTTTTTTTAATTTATTTATACACCTTTTCGTTTGTTTATTTGTTTATTTATATACTTACTTATTAATTTATTTTATTTTATTTATTTAATGATTTGTTATTTATTTATTTATTTTCAATTGTATTTTTTTGTCATTTTTATTTACTTAATTATTTATATTTACAACCAAATTTATATTTGACTGATTTATTTATTATATATTATTTAATTAGTTTTCATATTTTTTATTTGTATCATATAACTTATTTTTTTCGTTGGTATTTATTATTTATTAACTTAAAATTCTACTTATTTATTTATTTGTTTATGTACTTACTTATTTATGTATTTATTTTGGACTGATTTATTTATTTTTATTTTTAATTTTTTGTCTTGACTTGCCTTTTTGACTTATTTATTAATTACTTATTTGTACGTCGTCTTTTATTAATTGCTTATTCAATGTGGTTTTTATTTATCTTTTGCTTATTTTTATATATTATTGCTATATATATTTAATATGATTTTTTATTTCTTTGATGATTAACTCTTTATTCAATTAATTATTATTAATATATTTTTTTCATATATTTATTTATTTTATTCATTGCCATGAACTTATTTATTGATGCACTTATTTATTTATTCATACATTTATTTATCTTCCCATTTAAATATTTTTTCACTTTTTATGTTTGATATTATCATCTAAATAGATAACAATTAAATGCTCGACTCTACCCAGAGGCTATTCAACACTTTTATCGGGCTCGACCCTTGGCCAAGAATTGCACTCAATTTTCTGCAACTTATTTTTATTATCTACTTCTCAGATTTGTAGCTCTATCAAGATGAATGTTTTACTGGGAAATACCAAAGAAAATGATTTTTAATTTCTGAACTTTCCAATTAGCTTATTAGCAATTCAAAACATGTCAAGCATTTTGTGTATGCGGAGAAAATCAAACCTTTGGCAGTCCTGATTTAAGTTGCAGACGTAATCCGTTTCACATTTGCTGGAGCTGCCATCAAACGCTGCACGCATAATCCATATTTACATAAAAGGCCTTTGCTTTGTGGCTGTGTCCAGGGCCAAGATTAGGCGGCTGCCTTTATTAGATCAATTCGAATGATGCTGGATATATTTTCATTAAATGCGCTGCAAATAAATTTCGACAGCACACATAAAAGCCATTGGGCTGGACAATTCCTATGGCCCAGTTGTCCACACACACACACACACACACACATACACATATACATAAGATTTGTGTGTATATGTGTGTGTAGTATAGGATATTTATGTGCCTTACATATCTAATCAATATATATATATGTATGAATGTATGTATGTATGTATGTATGTATGTATGTATGTATGTGTATGCATGCTTGTATTCTGTGTATGTGCAGGCGCAGCCGAAGCTGAAATCAAATTAAATGAATTATTTAATGAAAGAACATGTGAGATTACGAAATTATGTGAGTTACGCGCAAGAATGTTTTATGAATGTTTATGGTCGCGTAAAATCTATTACGTCACGCCAGCTGGAATACGTTTGCGCGGAAATGGACGGCAGCACGGACACAAACACGGATACGGACACGAACACGGACTCGGATACGGAGCGAGTGCCCAAGACTGCAATTCGCAAATGCTTTAAAGCCTCGCCAAAGCGATTCGAACAGAGCCAGACTCATGGCCATGTCGCTGCTTTTAGCCAGTTTGTTGTATTGGCTTGCGGTTAGGGTATCAGCGATTCGTTGCCACATCTTTTTTTATCTGCGTATGAAGTGAACACTCTCATCACATAAAACTGACTTTCATGCGCCGCCTGCCATGCATATAAATGATAAAAATTCATGCTAATGTCGATGTGTGGCACAGCTTGTGTGTGTGTGTGTGTGTGTGTGTGTGTGTGGCTTGTTTTATGAACTCGCAGCAAACTAAAGCAA